TTAGGCTGATCAAAGTGGTCACCTACCCGCTTGTTGACCGTGGCCAGTGATGCTTGACTTCGGTGTTCTACTGGAAACTTGATCTTTACGATCAGTCCACTAAGGGACCTTTTTATTTTAAGAGCTAAAGCATACCATCGATAGATTACCACACGTTTATAGATGTGTTAAATTTATTTATAAATAGTGGTGGTCAAAATCATCTTAAATGTTATTTATAGAAATAAATAGAAAGCGCACATTTTACTAACATTTTAAGTTTACAAAATGCGTAGTTATGTAGCAGTAGGGTATACAGGATTTTTTATAATAACCATTCTGTAAGTATGGGCCATTCTTCAAAAATTCTGACAGTTGCTATGGAAGACTGAAAAGTGCTGACTAATTCCTTCTATTGAAAGAAATTAAAATTAACAACACTTTGTAGCATCTTTTTTACTATTGAAAGAGACTGTTTTTGTTTTAAATAATTTGAAAAGTAAATCATTGTGTTAGTTATGATTGAATAATTAAAGATATTATAAATAAATAAAAATGAATTGAGTTTCTACCACTTTTTAAGTTTTTAGTGGCCTGTGGCATCTCTGCAGTTGTGTCTTTTGCTTTTATTCAATTTATTTTTCTTTGAAACTCTTTAAAATTTTCAAATTTTTCTAAACATGCATTTTAAAAGCATTAAAATTATTATACCATAAATATTATGGCTAACAGTTTAATTTGGCCCTAAAATATTAAATTTATTATTTATTTATAAAAGGAAGAGTGTTAAAATCTACTTCGCAGATAAGTAAACAAAGCTGTTTCTCTTTTTTGAGGGAATATTTTGTGCCTTTTGAGACATTTTGTTGCAATATATTTAATTAGCTAGAGTAACAAAAAGTACAGTAACGGATGATAAAACAAAGTAAGTGGCGTTTACGTCTGGCGAGCTTTAAGGGTTGTCTCAATTTTAAGCACGGAGACTTTTTTTGAGGAGGTGGAGCCAAGTGTCAATCTTGGTGAACGAATTATAGCAGCGGACCATCGGACGGGATCCAACCAGTTTTGACTGATTTTCAACAGTTAGGGCTTTTATAAGATGTCCTCTACATTGATAACAACTTTCATCTATATAGTAGCTGTATATCATAAAGCTATCCAGTAAAATCAAAATTTTAGATGCATCGGACATATTAGTTTTTAGAAATATAGCACATTTTACAATTTTACCCATTGCAACCGGATCTGCGCAAAATATAGTTATTGGTACAAATAAAAAGAAAATGTAAGAAAAAAAAACATATACAGTATATACAAATAAAAAATGTATAGTTCATAATGCATCTACTTACTACAGCAGACTAATTTAAGTTCTGGAACAGAAATTGGACAGATTTGGGGTTACTGGAACAGCTGGGTTTACTGAAACAGTAAATTAAATAACTATTATCTAATGTATAAATACTCAACAATAATTAGTAACAATACCACATTAACCACTAATTGCTAATCAAATATCAACAATGAACAAACATCAATCAATGACGAAACCGGAATATATGGCTTATCACTCCGCAGATGCGTTTCAGCCAGTGTGCTCAGACACGAAAGATTGAATGTTTTACCGTAAAATCTACCTTTCCAGAAGAACATACGAACTTCGTTATCTTAAATAGCAATTATTCAAAGTTTAGATGATGTTTTCACGTTGCTTTAAAACCCATAGTATAAACCCCACACCTAACAAGCTGAACAATTGATTTTCTCAGGGATTAATCAACTGAATACGATCCACACTTGCGATCTTGCGGGATTGTTTTTCGTTGTGAAAAATAAAAATAAAAATTGTTTCCTTAACTCCCTTACTGACAAAAGCGTTTAATTTTTTATTTCAATGTGATGTGTTTTAATTTTTTTTCAAGTAAGTTTAATTCAATCTTTTTTTTTAAAATAAAAAATGGTAATTTTCTCACTTTTGATAAGATATACATTTTTTGTAATAATTCATGACATAAGTGCTTTGTTTAACTTCAGAAATACAAATTTTTTAAAACTTAGAAAACCGAATCCGAATCTGTTTCGGTTTACCGAACAGGAAGGGTTTTCTGTTATTTTTCGTCCTTCAAACCTGGCAATCATTCCTTTGCGGTTCTTTAAGAACTAAGTAGCGCCGCTACTTAATTCCGAAATATTAATTTTAATTTATTCTGTTTTTCTTTGATTAATATTAAACTGTTTTTTAAGATTAATCTGAACTATTTTAATCGCTATGGATCTACAGTTTATAATTTTGTGACAGCCAAAAGGTATTTATTTTCCGCCATTTTCATAACATTTAAATGCATGAAATTCATTGCAATTTGCACATTCATATCGTCAGTTTCAATCAATATACAGCAAACATTCCAAAAATATATGAAATTTAGTGTTGTATGACGAGAAAGGTACACAGTTTTTTAATTACACTTTTTTTTAGAATTTTAAATTTTCAGGTCTATGTTTTTCAATTTTTTGATAAAATATTTTCTTATTAAATATTAAAATATTTTAAGTTTAAATTATGACAAACGTTTTTTGAACATATTGATCGTTTACAAACCCTCATAATGTAATGAGTAAATGTGAGATAAATATATAAAAGTATTTTTTTTCTCAAATAAACTATTTTGTTTTGTCGTGATCTTGACAGCCATGTGGTTCACGTGATTTTTCTTTTTTTTATTTATGCAAATACCATTGAGTGTGTTTACGTTTTCTTTTTTCTTGGCTTATTTTTTTTCTCGGCTCTTTGATCAAAGTCAAGTTTTTCTCCAACTTCTTAGTCACTTGAAATTAAAATTGTCAATTACAATAGTTTGCATTTTTATATTTAAGGTATTTAAAAGCATGTTTAAATAGGTTAATATTTAAAATAATAATGATACTTTTCAAGAATTTTTACGTTCTAGTTAGTAAACTGCTTACTGTTATGAATTCGTTAATGAATATTATTTTTCGAGAATAGTTTTGAGATTTATTTTTAATGAAATATTTTCATTTATCATTAAATCAATAATTAGTTCCAGTTTACAGCCATTTTGAATGATTTATTAAATTTTATTTACCTAAAAATTTTTCTAAGTTTAGAAATTTTTATGCCTTTAATTACACAAACAGATGTGAAAGTTTATAATAAATTTAAATTAGATTCTTATTTATATTACTTCAATATTTAATTTGGTTAAAAAATTAAATTTATTGGTTAATTAAAGTTTTTGGACTAAGTTATAATTATCAGATGTATGTTTCAACCAGAAAATTCATCTGATAAGTAGTTACTTTTTAAACTCATATACTTTTAAAGCAATTGCATATATATTTATTGATTTTTAAAGATTATGTTATTAAAAAAATAAAGGAAAATTCCTTTTTCCTATTCAGTTATTTATTAATAAATGTGTTATGTTCAAGCTAATTAATATGAGTAAAATTGAAAAATATTTAAAGAGGTTTTAAATATTTTAACTAACCCATTAGTTATTGAAATTAACATTTAAATCAATATTTTAAAAGAGAGTTTTATGTTGATTGAAGTTTTATGTTTTTGTCGTTGGCAAATTAACACAATGTTTCATAAAAGTTAATCTTTTAAATTGTCTAAAATAATTAATGTTAAAGAACAAAAGATGTTTACTTCAAAATAAAAAGTTTCTTTCATTTGTCAATCATCTCTTTGATTTATCTTATGTTAAGATCATTTATCATTATTCTTGATTCTTGTTCTCATAAATTTTTAGGTATCATTTCATATTCTAAAGATTGATATGAGATTCTGATAAAACAATACTGTTTTTCTGTTTTTTAACATTTGGAACATCTGTTCTGTAACATTTTTAACATCTGTTCTGTTTTTTAACATTTGGAAATATTCCTTCTATTTTATTTATTATTATTATTGCACTTTTATTTCCTACTTTCCTATATAATTAGTGTTTGATTTATCATAAGGCCTGAGAGGCTCGGACTTAGAGCCTCTACAATTCTGGAAGCCTCTTAAATGTTACAAATAGTTATATTTTTCCACCTCAAGAATTATCTATTAGATTAACAGATTAACAAAAATTGAAATCAAAGAAACAACAAATTTTTAAATTATAATAAATTATTTAATTTATTTGGTTATTATCAGTTCATTGATTTTATATATCATGGTTGATGAATTGACTATAAAATTTGATTAATAACTAAAAATGTTTATAATTATCAGACATCAATGAGAAATATAGAAAAAAAGATGATTTATTTAGCTGAAATGTTTCATTTGTATTTTATTTAAAATTTAATTCTCAAATATTGTATTTTTTAGCAACTTCTAAGAATTACCAAATATTTTACTTTTTCACTTGGATCTTTGCTTGTGATTACTCACGTCAAGATCTGTCAATTATTCAAGATAATTTTTCTATGCTCCATATCTCGTTTCAATGGTTTCATTCACTCATGATTTTAAATGTTGACAAAAATCAGTGTCAATTAATCAACATAATTTCTCTTTAAATAGAATTGTATGTAGTAGGCATACAGTTGATCATACAATTTAAACTGAGTGATTTGAACCTTGATAACTAAACTTTTGTCAGATTGATTCCTGCTTTTTGTCAGTTTTATGAAATTGGAGCATTATACCTAATACTAACGTCTTCAAAGTTTCCATCTAAATTTTAATCAAAATTTAAGAACATAATCCTTAAGCTAGTCTAATTTCTTAAACATTATGTAAAAAAAATTTAAAAATAAGCTTGTTTGTAGTTCTTAATATATGAGGCAAATGATTAACTGAGCTATCTATAATCGTAAAAAGTAATATAGTTCCTGCATTAGAAATATCTAAAATTGCATTTAAATTAAGTTACCCCTCTTTTTCCTATATTAAATGATGTGTTAATAATGTTTTACTGCGTAAATCTTTTTAGTGAATTCAATGTATATGTATGTCTTTAAACACTGAAAACTATTTTAATATATCATATTTTGTTTTTCAGGCATAAATAATTTTATAATGTCATCTCCATCACATACATCAGAATACTCATATTTAGGACCATTGTCAACATCTACACTTTATGGCCATAATGAAGATTGGCAGTGGTCTCCAGAAGATCAGTACAATCATTATACTTACCTCACTTCTAGCAGTACAAATCAAGAACCACTGGATTACAGTATTGGATCCTCTATGTTTTATTCTGGTGAAGATAATATGGACAGTTCCTCTTATAAAAGCAAAACTATTAGTTCTGATAGTGGTTATCACATGGAAAATAATGAGAGACATGATGAAAGGCCACCTGATGAACAGGTATTTGAAACACTCGGTCAAACCGTCAAACATGATCCTTATCAGTATGAAGATTATGACGAGCTTCCTCCTCAGCCGAAAAAAAGAGGCAGAAAAAAGAAAGAGCAAAATGGAATCAGGTATTGAAATATTTATTTATATATATTCCGAAAACTTTTCTGCTGAAGTATGTAAATTTCAAAATATTGGGATATTTGAACAGAAATTTTCTATTTACCTCAATGTTTGAAAATTTATCATAACAGTAAAACCTCCAAATAACGGTCCCTTGCAAGATGGTCCCTATGTGACTAGTGTTTAGAGGTAGCCGCTATTTGGAGCTACCATTGAATTGATTGTTCAAGAAATAAAAGAAATCTCAAACAGCAGATTTTATCCACTGAAATACTGATCCGATGATGATAATTTTTTATTTTTAAATGCCATTAATTTGCATTGGCAGTATTGAACTGTCTAATTATATCTATGATGGATATCTTCATTTATGCTTAAGAATTGTTTTTTTCACAATCAATGAAAAATATCTCAAGCTTGAGATGAAGGGTTAGAAATGTTGCAAAGATACACATTGAAATAAAGCAAAGATACACATTGAAATAAAATTCATGCTTTTAATAGGTGGCTATTGTTAGGAAATTGCCACACGGAGGTTTTCTTGACGATATGTTCTATGAAATATTGTTGCTTCCATAAACGCATGACCAATCTTTGCATGTTACTTTGTTCAGAGGTGGTCTTTAAAAAAGGTTTGACTGTTATTTGAGTAATTTGCTGATTTTTGGCTAACATAAAGTATGATGTAGAAGAAATTTTTATCTGTTTTGAAAAGTTTGAAGGTTCTCAAACATTTGCAAAGCATTTTTGAAATTCAATGCAATGCTTTAAATTAAATTTGATGTTGTAATTAATTAATGTATTTAGTATAATGAGTGACAAATAACTCAAAGTTTAATCATTTAAGCTTAAAGACCATTGGGTCTCAACAACATATAAAAACTTTACTTTTAGACTAGCTTTTCATTGCATATTATACATAAAAAATGAAAATTAATACTTGGAAAATATTGCAGATGCAGAACTTATTTTATTATTTTGGCACTATTGTGTTTTATTACAAATTTTTACTTGAAAACACAAAATGCTAAAGTAGCATTTGTGTTAAAAAGTAGAGAGGCTAAGGTTGTTTTGATCTGCATAATGAGATTATATTTGGTTGACATTCCAATAGTATTCTCTGGTGGGACTTTTACGTGCAATTTTGTTTTGTCGAATAGTGGTAAAAAAATTGACAAAATGCTGATTTCTTTTTTGTGCAATATATGTGCATCTAAAGGGTAATGAATGTTGAATGCTTGCTATAAACACTCAATTTTAAGGTATGGTGACATAAGCGTATCTAGGGAAAATAATCTCTGTGGCAAATCTTGAAATAGCACCCTTTATGAAAGATTAAATTCTTTATATTGTTACAAAATTAAAACATTATTGGATATATGTAATTATTTTGACATAATATAAAAAGATCGAAAAAAAAAATCTAAATTAGATTTGAATAATTGGCGATCGAAATGGGCTACAGGTGGCTTAGAGCAGAATTCTATATCTATGGCAGCAATCACGTGCTTTCACCATTAGTGTGCGCAAATTCATAGAAGAAGGAAGCATGTTAGTTTCTGTCTTGATTTTCAAGTAGGTTAAAAAATTTTAAGTTAGGTAACTATATGGAAATGAAAACTACATTAAACTTAAAACTAAAGGAAAATGTCGTAGAAATTCTAAAAATATTTTTGATAAGTAAATACAAAAAATATTAAGAAAGGGTAAAATATCAGAGTACATTCCTATACAAATAAGAAGTGGAGGAGAAGGGAGGGTCAAAACATGGCATCGATCTTCTCCCCTAGATGGCATATTCGAGCATTGCGATTGCGAATATTGCATTAAAGCTTATTTAAAATTGCAGTTGAATAGAAGGGAATTTCCATAGTAAGGTTAACCAGATGACCAAATTTTTAAGCTTAATATTTTTTAGCAAAAAAGGTATTTTCAGTGTGAAAAACTGAAGATTTAGAAATATCAACTCCAAATTAACTCATAATATATATAAAAAATGAAATCAGTAAATGTTAATTGAGTTCTAAATAAATGTTGACACAAAATAATATTATTCAGACGAAGACTATGACTCTATATGCCAAACTATACATGTATAACAAAAATCATTAACATTTTCATTAAGACGAGACAGTATTCTTTGACTTAGCTAGTTTATTTAAAAAAATTTCTAAAATTACATCTATGATTATCTGAAAATATTGCTATGTCATTCATTTATCCTCTATAAAATTCATTTAACGATGCTTTATTAATTCTAATCCCCTCATTAAATTTCCCCCTGCTTTCTAAAGACATTTTGAATGTGCCATTTAGATTAATCGCCTATAAATCCCAAACTTTCACTTCCTCTTTCTAATTAAGTTATTTCTAACTCCTTCATCTCTCTAAAATTTTTGGATTGTTTACATTCTCAGGTAACAAATCCGAAATCTAAGAACCGAAATCTAGAAATTAAGCTCTTAATTTTGACATCATGGCGATTAATTTTTAATCGGCATTGGCAAGTTATTAATATTTTTATCTTATCTCAAAAAATGGATATCTTCATTTTAACAAAGCTTTATTATCAAAAGCTGAAATTGAATTTTTCTTTATGGCTTCTTAAATTCTTCCAAAGTATATTTTTCGTTTTTGAGTTCCACAATTTAACAAAGCTTATTCATGATTCTCAACACTATGTGAGTTTTTATTTTTCTGATGATTTTGTTTGAGTTTTTTTCTTAATTTGTCATTTGTATTGCATGTTTTTTTCCTGGACTTCTATACAAAACCATCGGGGTACTGAGGGAGTTAATTTAGGCATTTGCTTCTCCCTCAATTAGAAATGGTTTTGTTTTTATGGCTACCGAGGCCGGTACCCCCTGAAGACGTCGGCTTCGGTGGTCATATTTTTATTTCCTTCATTTTCTTTATTCATGTTTAGTTCTTCACTTTTAGGGGTTGTTGAATTTTTTATTGCAAAATTAAGCTAAATAATTCTCACTGCATCTGTTACATTTTTTATTGCTTTAACTGGTGGTGCCAAGTTTATATTTACCTTTTCTGAAGTGAGGGGCCATGTACTTCTCACGAAATATATGTTTAGGTTTTAATTCAAATGAATTTGCATGTATTTCTGCTTAAAAGGCGATTTCGCTTTCTTCATGTAAAGTTTGTTTTTCTTAAAGTAAAACATAATTTATAGTTTTAGGGAGTAAGCAGTGTCTCATTTCTCAAAGAATTTAAAAAATCTGTCATCAAAATTTTCAACTTGTTTTGGTTTTTTATAGTGTAGGCCCAAACTAAGCAATCTTGTGGCAGATTGTGCATAAAATTCCTTTTCCAGTTTTTGGCATTATTAAAATTCTCATTTTTTTCCCCCCACCTAAAAGTGATTGTATTGAACCTTCTTAAATTTTCTGGTATTTTCAATAGCATGGAAGTATGAAGTTATATTGCTTCAATCGTTAGGCAGTTTTGGTGCTATTGCTGTTAAGATTTTAGAATATTTATCTAATAAATAATTATTTGAAATTATATTTTCTGCATAATAATAGTTAATTTAATTTAAGGTTTATATTCTAACATTTCTTTTTCTTTTAGATCTAGTTCATTTAATTTAATCCTTACTTCATCTGAACTATTATTACTCTTTCTTGTTAATTGAGTTTTCTTTATAATCAATTCACTATTATACTCATATAACAATAGGCTAAGGAAACACGGTCCTACCTTTAGAAATGATGATTTTTTTTTTAATTCTGTCTTTTTACTGAAAGATTTCCACTTTTCACTTTCACTAGCCTCAGACCAGGTAAGGTTGACTCAGCCTTCAGTGGGTCAATAAAATTAGTACAGTTCCAAGCATGCTTGGGGACTAAATACTGGGTATTCCATGTCTGGCTGACCAACCAACCAACCAAAATATCTGTTCCTGTACCCTAGAGCCAGAGGTAAAAAAAAAAAACTGAGATGAGCAGCTTTGGTTCTCCATGGGCTGTCGTGCCACTGAGTTTACTTTAACACTCAATGAAAGCAGTTTCTGAATTATTGATTTTGTGGCAATTCTAGATTAGATAATTCCACCTGTTATCTCAACAAAATCCTCAGCTCTTTCAATTGATAATAATTCTGAAAAATCATCGACAAACACAACCGAATAAGAATAATTCTTCTACTCATCATTGTGGAATGATAAATAGAAGTTTCTCTCCTAATTCAAAATAAATATTTGATCATTATTAATTAAAAGATATAAACAAATATTTCATTTTTTCTATAACTTTTTCACTATCATTTTTTGAAGTTGATTTGAAGAAAATAGCACAAAGTACATTATTCAGCTCACTATGAACACTGACGTATTATACCTTCTATGAACACGCAATTTCCATTTCCCAGTGTGATAATTTTATAAGAATATCCACTGGAAGCATTTAAACAACTACTATTTATTAATAATTAAAATTGATTTCTCAGACATATGATTAATTATAATGATAATTCGAAATATGTATGGGATTAAGGAATAAGGCTCTCTTACTTCCTCATTCTTCTAATTCCTGCATTAAACTCAACTGATGTCGTTGCCGTATGCCATTAAGGCAAAGAAAGTGCGCTTCTTGTTTTCCAGTGGCACCATCTATGGCCATCTACATCCGTCACGCACGTGCGTCACAGCTTGTATATAAGACGAACCCATTCATTCTCAGATCGTAATTTTGACCTGAACCAGAGAATGATTAGTCTTCAATTCAGTACCCACAGAGGTATGATTTGCTATGGGAGCATGGAGGACTTTGTGACCTGACAGATTTAATGTGCACCAGTCACCCTTTACTGCTCTGGGAGTCTTCGGCTGTTGAAGATTAAACTCACAACCACTTGGACACGGGCCCAACGCCCTATAAACCAGGTTATCCCGGCCCAAACTCAACTGGTAATTATTTTGAAATGAAAAGGTTATTAACTCATAACTTCATGACACTCTTTAGCCTTGGCTAAAGAGTGTCATGATTTGCTCTTAGCCACGAGAGGTAGTAAACAATTGACACTGCAATTAATAAGTAACTGATTTTTTTTCCTTACTCGAAGATAGTGAATAAATAAAAAAGATAGTGAAAGTGTCTCAAATTTCTAAAGAGATAGCAAATTCAAATATATCATCACTTTAAAACTGTATTTTAATAAAAAGAATTTTTTTAATAATAAATGTCAAGTTAATCTTTCAAGCACTGATATTTGGAAGGTTTTAATATGCCATCTTGAGAGTGTATCAGCTTCATGGTAACAACCTCCCCCCTCCCTTGTTCAGTTTGTGAATGTAGTATACAATGTTTTCTCCTTCTTCAATGCTTCCCAATTTGGATTGCCTAATATATATTTTAAAATTTATGCATTTTTTCCTTAGGCTCTATAATTAAAAGAACAAGAAAATTTCAAATAACTTAGGCATAACTAATGTATTTCTTACTCCTATGACTAATGATTATTTTCAGTCTTATGTTGAATTAGTAGCATGTTTGCAATAATTAAAGAATTCTGCTACAAGTCAATTTTGATCACAAGTAGTTGGAGCATTGTAAATACTACTTTCCCCACTTTTCATTTTCACATTAAAATACCTTTTATAAAGATTCTGAAGTGCATTTATAATAAGTCCTCAAAAGTATTCTTTCTGTCAGCGGAAATTTTGCTTCTCACAAAATAATCACAGATGATATTAACTAAATTAGTGTGAGACAATTGTTTTATTTTTAGAGTATTCAGTATTTTTAATTCTTAAAAAGGAAAAATTTTTAGATATTTTTTTTTTGCCCCGTTTTTAACAGTTGTAAAGTTTAATGATGAAAGTTAAAAATTTTGTCTCGTACTAGCTATTGCTTTTCATAGAACCAGCCTTTTCATTCTACAGTAGAATTAATGTTAAATTTATGCTTTAAACTTTAATAACTGTTATGTTTCAAACTAAATCATTATTTTCTTGGTTGTTTTAAATTTAAATACTTTGTAGCAATGCACTTGCACTTTTGACGTAAAACTTTCATTTCCATAAAGAAGATTTCATTTGCATAAATAGTACAAATTTGTTTATTAAAATTTTTATTATACATTCTTTCTTTTACAGATCATCTTATAAGAGTCACTGAAAAGATATATTATAAAGAATGATTAGTTATTACTTTCCTGTGTGGAGTGAGGGTACTCTTAACTTGTGTGAATATAATCAAAGAGATTTATATTTATTCGGAATATGTATAACATTTTATTTGGACTTAGTATATAGGCTGTATTAACCAGGGGAAAATAAGATAATATTCAAACTAGTAAGCTCATTCGTAATGCATAAATAGTAATTAAGCATATGTCCCTTTATCGCTGTTGCTCTGTACTCATTAAGGGAATACTTATTGTTATAGCCGATTCTAACTTTTGTGTATTTAATCTAAAATTCTGTGTTGGATTTAACTCTTGCCATCTGAAACTCTACTAGCCCTCTGAGTATTTGACCCATAGTTTTAATTGCCCTGACATTTACTCCTTAAACAAACAGGTTTTCACTCATGTTATTTAATTAAATTAAGTGCAATGTGTGGGAAATTTTTGCACAAAGTTTCCCAGGATTTTATCTTGCAGTGCAAAATATACTAAGTGCAAAATATGCTTTAATATTAATATATACTTTACTGAGTTGAGAAAATACTTTGAACTATATTACAAAAAGTTTATTTTCTCTTTTTTGATTTTTTTTACTTAAAGCTTTCTGTTTTCTCCTTTTTCCTTGCTAATTTAAAGAAATTTCTTTTTAACAGTTATGAGTATATAAATACACCTGAGGGTGTGAAATGTATCAAACAAGAAAGAGTAAATGAAACTTTTAAACAAAGAAAGAGAATGGATCGTTTTGACGGAATGCCTGAAGAAGAAGTTATGAAGAAATCTCTTCCTGATCATCTTAGTCATGGATTAGATATTGTTATTGTAACTATATTTTTTAACTATCAATTATAATAATATTTTACTTTTTTCTTGTAATTCCTGTTTGGACATACAGCTTCATTTTGCTAAACCTGCATTTTTAATCTTTTGAATCCATATTACAAAAATATGTATCTAAAATCTGTTATAAGTATGCTAAAATGTGTTAAGTGTACTACTACATGTTATTTTGGCCCAACTGTTGAACAGTGTAAAAAAAAAATGGATCAACCTGATTAGCTAATAGTCTAAAAATCGGATCTTCATGTTCTTGGACATAATCTTAATGGTACAAGAGGGTGACCTCAAACATGCTAATTAATTAGTACACACTATATTTTAAGTTGCAAAATCGGGCACAAAAATGTTCTTTCTCTTAATTAACATGTATCTTTTTTGACGGATTTGGATTTTTTTACTTCCAAAATATAGGAGGCAGCTGCAATCTAGGAATTATAGTCCCCATAGTTTTGTCAGGAGAGTAATTGTAAGTTTTCAACCTCTTAATGTTAATTTTACTTTTTGTGTATTTCAACATATCTCAAACTTTATAAGCAAATTGAAAAAATTTTGCACTCAATTATAAAATTCGTTCATCCAATGATAATTCCATGCAAAAAATAACTTTTATTAGATATTTATTCTTTTTTATTTTATTTAATAATAGTCAAAAAATTTTGAATTGTACGGTTTAAAATTTTTCACATCATTTTAAAAAAAGTAATTTTATGTAACTATGTAAAAAATTGGAATTAAATTGGTCGAATAGTTCCTGAGAAATCAAATTTTTAAAGAAATTCGTATTTTATTAAATTTCTCAGGAACCATTTTACCGATTTTGCTCAAATTTTGTATTTTGTTATGTAAAATCTAAGAATTCATTTTTTGCGTGGAATTGTCTTTGGATACACGAATTTTATAATTTTGTGCAAAAATGTAAATGTTTAAATTTACTTAAAAAGTTCTTAGGATATGGCGAAATATGCAAAAGTAAAATTAATATTAGGGAGTCCAAGCTTTTGACTGCCCTCCTGACCCAAACTATGACTGTGTTTCCCAAATTGCAACTTCCTCTTATAATGGGAGGGTCAGAAATCCGAATCCATTGAATAAAGGTATGTTTGTTCAGAGAAAGTGCGTTTTTGTGTTTCATTTTGTAACTTAAAATATCGTCTGCACTAGTTGATTACCATTTTTGCAATCACCCCCTTGAACCATTAAGATTGAGTCCTTGTCCTAGAACGTTAAGATCTGATCTTTAGATCAAAAGTTATTCAGAGTAATCCTATATATATATATATATATACAGTACAGAACCCGTTATCCGGAAATCAGAAAACCGGAAAACCAAATAACCGGAACGAAATTCGATAAATTTCCCCGCCATTTTTGAAAAAACAAATGTTTTTCTCCTCATAAGATTTCAAGATTTTTTCTTTCTTTTTTGAAAGATGTTAACCTTACCATCATTTTGGAAACAATCATTAGTGTATTACTTCATCGTTTTTTTCTTCTTTTCAAGATTATTTCCAAATATATTTTTTTAGTTGAATTTGACAATAAAAAAAACGGCTTTTTGTAGCGATTCAGAAAACCGGAAAAATCAGTTATCTGGAATAGAGATGGTCCCGATCGTTCCGGATAATCGGTTCCCTACTGTATATATATAATTTTTTTTTGTGTGCACTGTATTGAGTTATGGTATATGATTAACTGAATGATTTAACTAAGTTATATTTATGTTTCAATTTTTGTACATCTAGAACAATACAAAGCTTAAGCAATGATTTTAAAGCTGATAATGAATTAATTTCAAGGTACATTCAAACTAATAATAAACTAACTTCAAAAGAACCAAATACATAATCTAGTGAAGGGATCCCTCTTGACTAAATGTAAAATTTTTTTTAGATAGCAACCGTTCCCATTTTATTTTAACCCATAACTATAATAATTTATTGATATACTAATCATTTAAATGTAAATTTTTGAAACATAAAAAATTGATTATATTCTGAATTACTTATAACATTTTAATTCTCTTAGTAATTTGATACTTACAAAAAATAGAATACATTAAATGGAATAGAATAGCACAAATTTGGTTTTTTCAGTGTAAGAATATTTATTGGTTTTTCCATGTGTCTCACACAAGCCCCAATTAACTAAGTATGTAAATTATAAAAATATTTTTTTAAATTTTACTTAAACTTTTAAATGTTTAAAATATTTTTTGCAGATTGGTATCAATCCTGGTTTAATGGCTGCATATAAAGGTCATCACTATGCTGGACCTGGAAATCATTTTTGTAAGCTTTCCTCTTTTTTTTTTTTAATAATATATTTATCATACATTATATTATTAAATTAGTCATAGACACCAAACATTAAATTTCATCCCTATGTTAACTTTTAATATTGTTTTAGTGCTAATGAGATTTTATTTTTTATTGAAAATTAGTCAGCCTAGCTTGAAGAGATCTCATTGTTTACAGTAAACTGTATTCAAAAAAGCATAGTTGCAAAAGTTTAGGAATCAGTAAATTGAAATAAATAGCATTATAGAATTTGCATGTTAACAACTTGTGTGCTATATTAATTTATTAGTTTTATTAAACAGAATTTATGATTATTTGTAAATTAAAACTAGCCATGTTTTTTTTCTAAGCGTTAAGTACTTAGAAATAAACTATACTGCTGTAGAGCATTTATATAATAATTATATATATATATTTTCCCTCTAAGAATATATTAGAAAAAACTGTTTTGATGTATATTTTACATTGCTTCTCACGTTTGGGTTTAACTTGAATAATTCCTTTTTCATGTTCTTTATGTAACCAACACAGAGTTTTAATGAAATAAGCAATGGTTATCTGTCAAGATCGATGAATTTTCTGGATATATCATTGGAAAACGAGATGTTCCAACATTAAGAGCTTACCTTTTTTAATGAAACGTTAGACCTCCAATTCAGCAAGATTAATCAAATCTTGCTGAAGGATTGAAGAGGAGGAAGATTAATCATTGATAATCTTCCTCCTCTTTCTGTTTAAAACAATTTGAAGATAGAAAGTTATTTTTTAAAGGACCCTTATTTTATTTATTTATTTATTTGAATTTAAAATTAGAAATTCCTTTTGAGTTGCTAAAATTATTTGTATGAAGAAAAACATTCCTTTCAGTATTTTCTTTCTATGCAATTAAGTGTAGAATGATAAGAAAACCTAGTTGTTTGCCATGAAATATGAACTTATAAAATAATTTAGAGTAAAATATGAATATTATTCTTATCAGTAGTTAACTATTATGCAATTGTGGTGAGAGGCAACTTAACTTTTTATTCATCGTAAAATTTGGCTCATAGTTCTAACTAGCAAGTATCATTAAACAAATTATATTTATTTGTCTGTAAGTAGGACATTTACTAAACAGTTAAATGTACATTGCACAGAAAAAAATGGAACACCAGTGTAAGTAGTGCAGACGGTATTTTAAGTTACAAAATTGGACATAAAAACTTATTTTCACTGATTGAACATACCTTTGATTTGAATTCCTGACCCCTGAAGTATGGAGGGGACATAGCCATAATCTAGGAAATATACTCCCAATGGTTTAGTGAGGAGAGCAGTCCATAGTTTAGACTTATTAGTTTAATTTTACTTTTTGTCTATTTCACCAAATCTCAAATTTTTTTTTAAGCAAATCAAAAATATTTTGCTATGCAATTATTAAATTTGTGTATTCAAAAGTAATTTCATGCAAAAAGTAATTTTCAATAGCTATTTATTATTTTTTTATTTTAATTAGTTAATTTAGCAGTTAAAAAAGAACTTGATTCTAAGGTCTACAAATTTTTGACATTTTGAAGAATGAAATATGAAAAATATAAAATATTTAATTTTAAAATTAAAAATAAAAAAAATTTTTCGGCAAAATCTGTTGCATAGCTCCTAAGAAATGAAATTTTTATAAAAAGTTGTTTATTTGAAATTTGTTTTCTCTGGAATTATTTGAGTGATTGCGCTCAAATACCTTTTACCTCACTATTCATAATTTTTTCCACCATTACTGACTAAAACATTAAAAAATATCAAATTATCGAAAATTATTTTTTGCATGTAATATCTTTGGAGAAACGAATTTTGTAACTGTGTGCAAATTGTTTTTTTAATCTTTTAAAAATTTCATGAGGTATTGCAAAGTACGCAAAATGTGAAATTAATATTAAAGGGTCCAACCATACAACTCTGGCCAAATTATTGGGATCCAGTTTTCCAAATTGGAACTACCTTCCCTTTTGAGGATCTGAAACCTAAATCCATTAAAAAAAAAAAGGTATATTTATTCAGAGAAAGTATGTTTTTGTCGTAACTTAAAATATCAACTAATTAATTAGTATGTTTGAGGTCAGGTCCTCAAAACATAGTCCTAATATGTGAAAATCTGATCATTAGATCAAAAGTTATATATGGTGTTTTGGTTTATAATTTTGTCCACTGTAAATAAGTTATTATTGTAGTTTGTATTTTAAGATACAATTATTTATGGGTAGTTATAAATTCTAAATTTAACGTAATTGTTTCTATAAAGAAGTGCTAAAGAGATTTTGTAAACCTTGAAAAACATTTGTGTGGATCAAACTATTTTGCAATGCTTAGTGTTATATGTACTTCATATATGTTATAAACTTTTGATTATGAATTTGATTAATCTTGTAACCTATAATTGGATATCAATTTGCTTCTAATGTCCTTTTTTTCATTCAAAATAACATCAAACCTTAAAAAAAAAAATGTTTTATGATTGCGTACGATTTACTTTTTTATTTTTGTTATAGCATAATTTTTATTAAATTTTTTTTTACCATTTTTATAGGGAAATGCCTGTTTTTAGCTGGTTTAATTCCAGAGCCGATGAGTGCTGTAGATGATTTTAAACTTATTTCTCATGGTATTGGTTTTACTAATATAGTTTCACGTCCCACAAAAGGAAGTGCAGATTTAAGTAGGTACGTATATTTTTTATAATAAAGCCCGATTTATGAAGCTAAAAATGAGTGTATATTGGAAGAAATTTTGGGACCTGCTGAATGCTTGCCAATTTATGTAATTCTTTTAGAAGGCCAAAAGCTCTTGCCTGCTGTCAGCTTTCTTTTCACCTTCTCTAAATAATTTAACTGTTTATTATCGTACACACCTTCATCTTTATTTATTTGAACTTAATAAATTTATTATTTCTGTTTTTTAGAAATTGCTTCTAAGATAATATATATTGTAATAAATTGTTAAAAAGGTATTTTCTAGACAAACAATTAAAAAAAAAAGCTTTTTGTTCTGCAGAGATTTTAAGAGAGTTATTGCTGTTTTCATTTTTTAATTTATTCATCCGCTCTATTGTATATGGAAAATGGATTTCATCCAAATGCAATTAAAATTTTAGGTAATGTAGTAAAGGACTCTTCTTATCAAAACCAATCAAAGTATGAAATTTATTTAAACAAATTTTAAGTTAAGTCAAATTTATATTTAAAAATTTTGATAAAACTTTAAAATAATAAGTCAAAATTGAAAAGCTCTAAAAGCAGTTAAAACCAAATTTTTCTTTTGTAAAGAATTTAAATAAAAAGTTAGAAACCAAAAATAAACAAAAATTTTTTTTTTAAAGATATGTCTGTTAGCAAAAACAGTACTTTATCAGGGAACAGAAAGGCTCCAGTGCCTTAGCAGAGAGTGTGTCTCCTAATGAAGTGCTGTTTTTGCTAACATGCATATCCTTAAAATTTCATTTTGTTTATTTTTGGTTTCTAACTTTTTATTGCAATTATTTATTCTTATCAAAATTATAATTCATTTTAAATTAGAAATCATTATTCTTATAATTCATTTTAAAGTGTTAACTTTTGCATTTCGTTAATTGTGCCTCTTATTACGTATCGTAGAAACATCCCTGAACCAACACCTAGGTGGAAATGTAGAAGTAATTATTTTTTCATAAGATTTTTCAAACTCAACCTCATAAAATAAGTATGTTTGAATGCAAAATTTTATTGCAAACAATTATATATTTTTTAGTTAGGGCAAAAGTTGTTATTTGGTATTTAATGTGAAATGAACTTGTCAATAATATAAATTACATTGGTTACAAAAATAAAAAAATGAAAGAGGTCATCTTAGGCTTGGGACCTGTATTTAAGTAGGTAAATTCTCTAAAAGGGGCCACTTATCCAATGAATAATATGTTGGAGATTTGTGAAAGCAGATCAGTTATCTATATGGAAGTTTACTTATTACTTAATGGCATCATCAGTTAAAAAAATTTATAAACATGTTTGATTGTTTTTAGAAATGATCAATGAATTGTAACCATATAGAGAAAAATATCTGGAGTTTAATGTTCAAAGACAATTTAATAGCAAATATATAGTTGCTTGAGTGTATAAACATGGACCTGATAAGGAAATGTTAGAAGGAAAAATCTGCTCTTTTTACAAGAAAATAATTATATATTTTTTTATTTATCTCATTCTTAAAAAAAAAAAGAAATTAAAGGCGTTTTTTCTATTGAAAAATATAAGAATGGTCTACACTGCATTATTCTAAATATTTGCCGAAAATACAATTTTTTTTAACATTTTTTATCAATTGATGTATTGTAATTTCCATAAACCATGAAAAATATAAATCTCAATTGAAGATTTTGCCTATTTTTACATTCAACTAAAATTATATTTACGAAATCGTAGAAAAGCTCTTTTTATTTTAAAGTTTAGTTTTTGTTTGTTTAGTTTTGTTAAAATGTATAGAATTTAGGGAGAGGAAGAGGAGGAACTTATGGGGTAGTTTTAACAATAAATAGAATTTAAGTGAGTTCTAACTTTTGTCAACATGCAGCTTTTTCTTACTTTCTTCATGTAAAAGTCTTTTATTTACTTGGCTTATAAACATATGTATATTTGCTTAAAAAAGTTGTATTTTAAATTAAATACATTTGCTTGTCTGTTCTGATAATTATATGCAAAGAAAGCGTCAATATTCAAAACCAACAATTTGATTTTTATGTATTGAGTTTTAATTTTCTAGCTGATGAGACCCATTCAGAATTAATTAGTTTGAACAATTATTTAAACATAGAAATCTCACACTGAATCAGGTCTTTAAGATAAATTTGCACCTGTAATTTTTGAAATTTAGAGGTTAACTACAAATTGATAAATGGGCTTCCAATATTTTCTCCTTGAGAGTTATTAAAATATTTTAATATCTTAATTTTAGTTATACTTTTTTATTATATTCATTAGTTAATTCAGCTTATTGAGAATTTACTCAAGGTTAGAAAATTTGTATGATCCATTAAACATTTGACCTAAATTTTTGATTTTTCTAAGAAATAACTATATGAATATAACTACTTATTAAAATAATAAATTTCTAAATTTTTCTTGAAAACTATTTGTTAAATATTAATTACTTTTCAATTGTTGTCAGTGTTGTTCTGTTGCAAAACTGGCCATTTCCAAAACAAAACATTATAAAGAAAAGTTGTTTTTCTGTATCACTAAGAAAAAATGAAATGGGATCTAAAATTCTTGAGATTAAAATTCTTGAGATTAAGAAGCAATAAATAAAATTGAAACATAAATAAACAATATTTTAAAACAAAGTAAGAAAGTCCACATACATTAAGGGAGGGGAATATTCAATTTTTTATTTTGGATTTGGCTGGTTTTGCTTCTAACCAAAATTTAAATTGTTAAATTTATTGTAAATACTATTTATTATAAAATTATTTTTAAAAGTACAAAGATGTTTAGTTTGATTTAAAAATTTTATTAAACAAAAATTAAAATCTTAGTTAAAGTGAACTATATTGGACAGACACACTTTAGAACTTATTTAAGAACCATGAAATAAAATATATTAAATGCATATTTGTAACTAGAAAAAAATTCAGAATATCTTGACAATTGAATTTAATCTTTGGTATAGTACAATATCAAACATTATGTGTTTCTAAAATATCAATTAGTGATGAGTACACATTATTACAAAACATTAAAATAAAGTTCGATAATAACTGATGTAATTTTTCTTTTTTCTTGATTTATTAAAAGAGATACTGCCGTCACAGTCATCACCAGAGATGAGATTTTTCCACTTTTGTCCTTCCAATTTCAGCCTTTTTATCAAAAATTCCGCTTATCTAAAAGTTTCACTTTTTTTAAAAATAAATATTCTGCTTTTTCAAAAAATTCAGCTGTTGAAATAAAATAATTATATTTATTTCCGATTTTCAAGGATAAAGAGAAAATTCAAACTACATAGCTGCCAACCCTTCCATGTTTTTACTTATTTGAGCTATTTTGTCCTCTTTTACTCGCAGAAGATAAGATTTTCCAAATTTTTACTCGCCTGTCAGATATCTCGTATTTTTGTAATTAAGACGTCGCTGCTTCAAATGAGCCTTCTGGAAGTCCCAAGCCCGGAATCTGCTAACATTTTGATTCTTATTCACGCGATTTTAATATCAAACATAGCCTTTTGTATTTAAGTGATTTAAAAGTTGTGCCTTGCGACTCTTATTCACGCAATTTGAATATCATACATTATGATTCTTTTTTACGAGATTTAAAAATACAATGTCACTTTTTGTATTTATGCGTTTTTAAAATCCTATTCAGCAGTTTGTATTCACAAGAGTTTAAAATACAATGTCGTGATTTGTTCATGCGCTTATAATATCAAACATCGATTTTAGTAATAAAATAATGCATTGGAATTTGCATTCACACAATTTAAGAATTATGCATTGTGATTCGTATTTACAAGATCTAAAAAGTACGCGTTGTGGTTTGTATTTACACAATCTAAAAATTATGAATTGCTATTTGTATTTACGCTCTTTTTAAAAGTCTGTAACGCAGTTTGTATTTTCTCATTTTTAAAATCGAATATTGAGTTTCATATTCACGCGATTTTAAAATCCAAGATCGCTATTTGTATTCATGCGATTTTAAAATCAATTATCAACACTCTTGTAAGAAGTAAGTTTTTCTTTAATGAGCTATTATAAATGTGACTGTTTTTCTATCGACAATTATTAGTATATATAGGCATATTCAAAACTTGCATTCTGTGCAGGGTGGCCACCAACCTTGAAAACCTGGAATTATCAGGGAATTTTTTTTATACTGGAAAAATCAGGGAATTTTAAAGAAAATCTGGAAATTTTTTTAATTTCACTAATTTTCTTAATTAAAATTATTTTATCCATTATACCCACTTTTTTTAGACGGAAATGTATCTCCACGCAGTTGAAATATCATCAACTTAGCAATACTTTGCTTGCATCAAAATTTGCTCCATTACAGCTCTGTTAAACTAGAATGCCACATAAAATTCTCCCACTGTTGTTAAATGAATGTGGAAACCTTTGACCGCTATGGACTGTGCAATTTAGGAAAGATTGTGGTGGAGGTGGAAGAAGGGATTAGGATATTAGCTTCTGTTTTTAAATTCTGTCCTTGGGCTGAATCCATTTATGGCTTAAGTTTGTTCCAATGATTTCGTGGTAATTTTTTTTCCATTCCGACAAAATGTTTTTGTATTTTTAACTTTATAAAATTCTCCAAAAATTAGTTGATTATAATTTAATAACAATATTGAATTACTGTGAATTATTTTTTCTCAGCAAACCAACCAACCACACATATTTTTTTACAATCGCTAACAGCAATGTTTATCGACAAATTGTTACATTAATGCTAATTTTTTGTTTCATTGTAACCTTTTATAACATATTTTAATTTTTAAAAAAGGTTTTTTTTAAGAACTAACTATATANAAACATTTAAGAACCAACTATATACTAATATTTAATTTTACTCTTTTGTTGGTCAATATATATAATGTTTTTTGATTCAAAATTTTGTACCAAAACATTAAAAAATGAATAAAAAATCTTGCCAAATTGTCAAAATAAATTATTTTTTTCAAGATATGTTAAAAAAATAACATTTTGAATAAAATATGTTATTATATAGGCACTTTTCTTGCCTACACTTTATTAGAATAAAGAAACTAAGACCTGAAAATTTTAAGATTTTTATCTGGAAAACCTGGAAAAATCAGGGAAATTTGAAATCTGATTTGAGTGGCCACCCTGCTATGCTTGCAAAGAAGAATGTGACACAGGCAGATGAAGAAATAAAAAATAGGATTTGTCGAAATATGTTTGAAGATGGGCTAACTACTAGATTAATCACCAATCTGTTTCTCCACATTCACAAGCTGCGTTATGAGCAATTTGACCTTTTTAAAGGATTTTTTTTAACTTATTTTGTGAAGCATTTGCAGCAAATTAAAAAAAAAAAAGATATAGCAAACAAAAGCAATCACTTAAAAAGTTATTCTATTTTTTTTTGGAAAAAGAGTTGATGAACATAGCACCAAAATCCTAAATTTTAAAAATAATGGTGATGCTATAAAATGCGAAATTCTTATCGATCTAACTAATCTTAACTATCTAAACAGCTGCTGATTATTATGTAATTTTTCAAACTAAAATAGCAATTTTCGTATGTTAAGGAGTAACTATATGTTTCTACTTCACAGTTATTGACATGTTTCACAGGGCTCTAGCTAGATTAGATTATAATATGAACATAGTGATTCTAATTGTGAAAGTTTATTTTCTTTTCTAAATAATTTAACAAGTCATGTTACTGATATATTTGTTATAAATCACATAACAGTTTTTATTAAAAGAAAGGGAATGTTAATGTATGTTCTCAGTAATTTTAATTTGCTAATCCAGGCAATTTCTCTAGTAATAATTGTCTCCTTTATGTGAACTGAAGAAAAATATAATTTCTAACTTTATTTTTTCAATTGGTAATATTACTTTTTACTAAATGTTAAGTATCGATGTAATCATTCATATATTAATAAATTAGTAAAAAATTTTATGTAAGTGCATAGTTATTTATTATCTTGAATTGTCCAGAATTTATTATAAAATGATTGCACGTGCGTAAAATTGACTCTCGTGAAAATTCAGCTTTTAGCCAATCTCATCCTTGCAACACAATCCTTCATAAAGGAAAAAAAAACAGAACTCATTTAATAAACTTTGCGGGCACAGTTATAAACTACAATATAATGCTAAGCAAGTAGTAATTTAACTCTTTCTTAAAAGTGACATTTACTGTTTATGAAAAAGGTCAGTTTTGCAACTCACTATCTGGAGAATTTGGCTAGCTTTGCAGCAAAACATACCAAATCCTCCAGATAGTAAGTTGATTTGTAAATACTTATAAAATATGGATTTGATTAAATGTGGCGTGGTTTCTTTTATTCAGTTGATGGAAAAGATGAGTTAGACCTTTAAATAATATATATGTGTGTGTGTTTCCAAAATTTAAAAAGATTACCGATTTTGCATTTGAATGACAAATTTGTTCATTATTACGTTATTATAAAATATATGTTTAATGAAATGTTTTTGTGTAACTAAATTTTACAGCTAGATATCTTAAAATTTACTCTTATTCTGTAAATGAAAATGAAACTCATTGTGTATGTTATTTTTCTTTTGAGTGCTGTACATTATTTAGATTTTACCTTTGATAAAGCAAAGTTATTAAAGATTTTTTCAATCAGTTTTTCCTTATCTAAAGAAAAGATGTGTTTACTACATATTTTCCGAAAAATATAAATTTTAGTTCTATAGGATTTTCTTACATAATAAAATTTTGATTGCAATAAATAAAAAAAAAACTTTGCATTTTTAATGTAGATTAATAACCTATTTTAAATTTTAGGAAAGAAATCAGAGAAGGAGCTGAAATATTACTTTCAAAACTAAGGAAGTATCAACCTAAAATTGCAGTATTTAATGGGAAAAGTATGCTTTCACTTTATGTTGTAAAATTTGTTCTGTTTTGAGTTTTAAAAAAAATCTTTCTTGTGACAATTATTAGAAAATAAGTGACAAATTATTGGGGCAATAGTGATAATTAGACAGTAAATAGTACTTAAATGTCTATATTTTAGTCTTTACAATCTTTTTAAAATAAATTTACTTTAAAACTTTGTTTTAAGTTGGGATTTATTGAAAATAAAAAAATTTGATCATCAAAATAATACCTAATATTTTTATGGATATCAAAATAGTAAACTTAATTTCAAAATTAAACTCATCTTGAAATTAATCATCTGGAACTATCTTGAATCATCTTAAATCATCTTGAACTATTTTTGCTGTTTTAAATCCTCTGCTTCAATGCTATTTACTAAACATTTAGTTATATTATGTACTTAAATATATAATTTAACAGAATAAGATTGATATAGATTAATGAAAATTTCTTAGAATTTTATTCTTAAGGTTATTTTAAAGGCAAAATATATTGAACAAAATTTGATAATAGGTTAATTTAAAGGTGTTTTACTAATCTTTAAAAGTTATTTTCCTTTGTCGCATATTATGCATTATTAATTATAAAGACATAAAAAACTTAATGCATGACTTAAACATTAATCAAGAAAAAATTAAAGTTAAAAATATGAAGTAAAGCCTATGGAAAAATCTCACATTTTTAACATCAGAACTGACGCTCATCAGAACTTATTAAATATTATTCAATTTTGAGTGTAGTATTTCCATTTGATTTCTTAATAGTATGTCATTATAGTTGTGTAGAAAAAATTCCTCCTTACCACCCAACATATAAACATTCTTTTTATTGATGTCAAAATATTATACAATAAATATTTTTTATTACTAATTACTATAATTTTATGATTAATAACTTTTGTTACATGTTCAATTTGATTGCAGCAAACATTTTCATTCAAAATCTTATGAGCTCATTTAATTTATTTATTCACTTTAGTGATATATGAAGTCTTCTCAGGAAAGAAAAATTTTGATTTTGGACGACAGCCTGACCCCATTCAAGGAACTGGAATTGTAAGAAAATTTAATGTTTCAAATATCTCACTATTTAATGTGGTGATTTTAAATGTGTTTATTAACTAATCTTTAAAAGTAATTACTTTACTTAACTCTATAGTCAAAGATGTAGGGTATCACCAACAATACCAAGCTATCATTACTAAATAACAGAAGTTTTTTTAAATGCTAAATACTCAAAAAATTAATAAAATGCAACTCTCTAACAGATTATTAAAATTCGATGAGTATTGAGTATATTCATATAAAAAAAAGTATTAATAAAGGGATTTATTAACATTGAAAATATAAGCCTACATTTGGACAGATACATATTAAGATAAAATTAAATGGACAGATAAAATATTATGTTGCATTAACAGTTATAAAAACATGAATAAATCTTTGTAATTTTAAATTATTAAGCTCTATTTTCTTTTACACCATCCCTGAAGTTAAAATACTATTAAAACAAGCTTTTTTTTTTTAAAATTATTATTACTCTAAAAATTTATCTTCTTTTTATCTGTTTTAAAAATAAATAAAAAAATCTGCTAGCTTCCTCTGAGACCATATTTATTCAAACAGAACAAAATTTTTTCCTAAATGATAGACAAATAAAATAAAGTCTATCTATTTAATTCTGGTGAACTCAATTATTTAACTAATTTTAATTGTTAACAGTCCATTATTTTTAGGATGGTTAACATTTTAAATAATGTTTTTCCTGATATTTTCATACTATCAGATTTAAAAAAAAATAATTATGCTTTTTGTCTTAGACTAAATTAAAGGTGAGAAATGTTATTGGGCAATAGATATGTAATAGATATGTAATATGCTTTTTTATAGCCAGCAAATTACAGAGACAAATTTTGACTACTTTGAGAAAAAAAAACATGATTGGTAGTTAATGAGATAGAAAAAATTAAGGTTATATCAATGTAAAAAAAAGTCTCAAATAATTTGTATAAAAAGAAGTAGGAAATTAGGTTCTAGTAGTCTTTCTTTTTTTTTTTTCTTTTCTTTTTTTTCTTTCTTAATGATTAGATAGAATCTAGAGAATGAAATAATGAATCTAGAGGAATAGAATGAATCTAGAGAAAACCTAAATTATTTCTTTCTTGATCTTGTCTTAGAGGGGCAAAGAAGAGACAAATATCTGTGTGTGTCAGAAGGAACCAGTGATCCACCTATTAGTTTTTATCAAACAATCGTAAAAGAATGGCAGACTTAGATAAAATAAAGTAAACCCAAAATCTCAATTAAAAACTTTCTACAATCAAATGATTGACTCTTGTAACTAGTTCCAGTCTTTTCATCACTAAGTCTGCAAAAATTTGTTCAAAAATCACTGTATTTATTAATAGTATTTTAATTTATATTTAAATCAAAGTTAAAAAAAAGCTGATGTGACCACAAACTGAACCACAATTTAACAAGTCACACAGAGAGTTAAAGCTTAAAATTCTGTGACATCTTAAATCGATAATATATGTAACAATAAGATCAACTAAATATCTGAAAACAATGCTTTCTGCCTGGTAAGAAAACCAACCACTATTTGTCTTTATTCTTTATACCTGAAAGTCAAATGGAATAATGTAAACCCCTAGAATGTGCACCTGCACATAGTAGAAAAAGATATTCTCAAATCTGTTTCTTGGGTATCTACTGATCAAAATTCATGAAAATCCAAATTTTTTAAAAGAAAAGTCAGGAAAATTTTTTCTTTTGCTAACTCAAATTCGAAATTTGCGTGTTTTAATACCATCTTATTAATAATATTTATAATTGAAAAAATACGTGAAGACAGCCAAAAAAAACTATATCTACTAAAAAACATGATTGGAAAATGATGTGAATGTATGACAGAATCGTAAACCAAGTGGTTAAATGGAATATCACAAATTTGAAAGTCGTTTGTCGTAATATAACATATTTAAAATATTTGATAAACTATGTGGAAATGGGAGAAAAACGATAACTGCAGAAAATGGTATGAATGTATGACGGAATCGTTGCAAATCTAGCTCATCAAAAAGTATCTCAAATTAGAAATTTTATTTACATTAAAAAAAGTAATTTTTTTTTTAAGGGGGATTTTAGCTAAAAAAACTAAGTAGATTTATGATGAAGATTCGATTTGAGCCCATCAAAAAGAGAACTCAGATGCAGAATTTGAAAATCCCGCTTTTCTAGGTTATCTGTCTCACCATACAGGGAAAAAGTGATAGTAAAAAAAAAGTCTATAAGAAATGTTTTTTTTTTTTATAGTAGCGCTGCTTTATAATTAGAACAAAAAAGACAGCAAAAATGAAACAAATTTTTTAAAAAAATTCTCAGTTCTTGAAGAAAAAAAAGTGTTGAAAAAATGACAAAATAGACTTGCTTGAATATAATTTTAAAGACATAGTTGTACGTAACTTATGGTTTAGTATAAAGTAATAGATAGTTTCAATTTTTCCAAGTTTCTCTTTTCCATGTATCTTTCAGAACATAAATTAACAAGTTTTAGAACTTAACAAATATGTGTAAAAAAATATTTCTAATGTGTTTTAAAAAATATGATTTTAAAATCCTCTTTATTAAATCTTTTAAATTTGTTTCTCAAAAATACTTTGTTGTACATTTAGCCGAATATATGGCAGAATATTCTGCTAAAGAGCCAAATATTTCTTTCATCCTTAGTTTTGAACATACTAAATTTTTTTGCTTGTCCTCACAAAGACTAGAACAAATTATCCTATGTAGTAAGACTTCATCAGTGATACAAAGCCAAGAATAACACTAAATTGTGTATTTATTGTGATTAATTATATTTTAGGGCTGCTAACTCATTATTTCTCTGTAATAATTTCTTTTAGGTATTGTTTTATTCACCTAATTCTGTTTTCTGTATGACTTTTACTTAAGCAAATTTTTTTCTTCTCCGGCTTAGAACCCCCAACTTTTGTGGAATTTCTCAAAATGAGTTTTTAATAAATATTGTTAATTTCAAAATAGATCTTTGTCACATAGCCAATCACATCACTAATTTTGAGTCAGACTTAAGTTTCTAACCTTTACTCATTATAACTATTTTGTCTATTTGTAATGTAATGAGTAACAATTTTACATAATCACTTATCAGTCTGACTCTAGGATATTTGTTTTCCCAAAAAAATTTTTTTTATATGTATTTGTTTTAAATTTTTTATTTTGAAATTTTGCAGTCTGTTTTTGTCATGCCTTCCTCAAGTGCAAGATGTGCTCAACTACCTAGAGCAGTTGATAAAGTTCCATTTTATATCGCCCTCAAGAAATTAAGAGACCATTTATGTGGTGTTCTTCCTGATTTGGATTTTTCTGAAGTGTCATTTCCTGATGTCAAGTTAAAAGTGGAGGTTAAAGAGGATAATCATGAAGATTGTTTCAGTGACTTTCGAAGGAATGATGTTAGTGCTACTGTGCATAGAAGCTTAGAAACCGAAACTGAGATGAGAGTGATGATTCCTGTACGAGGTAAACGGGGTAGAAAACGAAAAACAGATTTAGGTCGTTATCCTGTGCCTGTTAATCATACTGATGCTGAATGTTCCAGGCCTCGAGGAAGAGGTTCTGGCAGACGTGGTAGGGGTAGAAGACCTGTAGAACATCATAGTGGATATAGCCCGTCAGGGTCATCTTGGTCTAGCTCATCAACTGTTACCTCACCTTATTTTTCTACAGATTCAACTCCTCAGCATAGTTGGCAGCATTGGCAAGAAAACCATAATGGAACAGAAAATTCTTTTACAGATCATTCACAAACTCATAATATGAGCCCTGTTCATAATTATCAAATGACTCATGCTGAACAAGCTAGTAAGCAGTCTCAAAATAATCAGTATTATGGTGGTTATAACCGACCTTACATGGGTTATTCTCAGGCTGACTGTTCATATGTACCTCAAGTTGATACATATGCTAAGGTTAAAGAAGAATGTTATGACACAAGCTTTAATGAATATTAATGTAGCAATTTTTTAAAAACTGCTACCTTAACTATAATGTCCCCCATTTTTACAAAAGATGCTGCAAAATACAATATTTCTTATGTTTATCTTAATTGATAATTTGATTATTCTGTTACATTTCATGTTTTTTTCCTTCATTAATTTAGTTGATATCTTGACTTATGTTTCAGCTTATTTATTTTTAAACTAAATTAAAAAAAAAAGAAGAGAATTTTGCAGTATCTTTTACATCCCCTTGTTATAAGAATTAACTCCTTAAAAGATGTACATGAGGAGTATAATCTTTACCACATGTTCACATTAATTGACCGATAGTCTAGTCTGTTTTTATCATCTTGTCGTTTTGCATCCTGAATGTTTTGATATTTGTGAATGTTCGTTCCATTAGATCATTTTAACTTTTGATTGCCTTCATGTTCCTCACAAATATTTTATATTATGATAAAGGTTCAAAATGAGTAGACTGTTTTTGTGCAATAAAACTAGGCTATTTTTTAATTTTATGTTATCGAATGTATGTGAGTTCCTTTGTTTTAATTTGCAATTTTGCTTAAAGCATTATTGCTGCTCATATTATACTTGAAAAACAGCAATTTTAAATTTTTATGCTGTTTGCATGGCTAATAGTTCAAACTGAAATTTGGCTTCCTAACAATTATTTATAAATCTAATTGAAGATCCTTTGATTATAAAGCAAAGGGTACTAAAAACTATCATATCTTTTTGGGCCTTAAATAACGTAACTTACTATTTCACACTAAAAGTGTGGCCTATTTGATAAAATGTATGTTGTAATTTTTTTCTCTTAATTTTAAAAGTTAGAAATAATTTTACTATTAGAAAATCTAATTTACCACATAGATTAAGAAGAAAAAAAAACTTTGTTAATGTGATACTCATGCTAAATATATGTTGTAAATTGCATAAAAATTCATCATAACTATTGCAGAGAGTAAAAATAGGTGATCTTAAAAATAATCAGAACAGATAAATTTTATTTGGTTAGATATTTTGTTAAAAGAAATACCTAAATTAAGATTTATTGTGTTGTTTTTTCTGACATTTTATATTTTAACTCGCTTATAGTAAACAAATATTAAGTGGTAAATTTTTTCATTAAAAAGCAAACTTATTTATTACAATGTTAACATTACTTTATTGTGTTATATTTGATATTATTACACAACATAGTGTTGATATTTAAATTGTGTTTAATGCTAGAACTGCGGAACAATCTTACGTACTCTGGAGCAGCAAGAAATGCTCATTTTGACTCCCTTCATAAAAACCACTGAAATAGACAGAATATAATTTTAAATGCCATACATTGACAAAAATATATAAATTGTGTGTATTTTATATTTAATATTACATGATAATTTACTGAATTTTTAAAATGCTGTAAATATATCAATTGGATCATACTACAACTACTGAAATAACTCACTAATTCGATATAAAAATTGATTTCAAATAAATAGCTTTTAAAGTTAAAATGAATGCTAACTAAAATAAAACATTTATTTTTGATGTACTTACTCACAGAATGATTCTTTCCTTCAATCCGTAAAGAAATTATCGATGAAGGACATTTATATTAAAATTTAAATTACACATGTATTAGGAATTAATGCACTGAATACAAGTGTAATTTTTAACAATTTTTCCATTATGCATGATCCAAAATAATAAAAAAGATATGCACAAGTCATCATCCAAAAGCCAATTAAAGGAATATTTCATCTGATCATGAATATCTACACAATACTTTGTTTCATTATAAAATGATTTAAATATTGTAAAATGCCATATGTAACTTCTTGAATTTGTCTTCAGTTTTTACAGTAGACTGTAATGAGCTCAGTAGAAAAACATCTTATTTTTCTTTTGGCTTGATAGATGGTTATAGTGTGATTATAATTGTAAGCATGATATAAAGATGAAGAATTTCTTTTCTGTTATTTTTACATTGTGCCGACCAAAATTGTTTTTTTAGAATTTAGCAATTCACAAATTTGAGGCTTGTAAAATAGTCCTCTGTTATTATATTCCTCCTTTTGTTTAGATAAGACTTTAACGATTTGTGACATTTTCAGATAAATGTAATTGAGGATTTGTTGCTTCATCTTTTCCATTTAGGAGGTACTTAGTACCAACATCAACAGATAACCAAAATTTTGTTCTGAATTTAGCATATTTTACAGTTTTTAATAAAATTATTCCACATTTCAGATTAGGAGCAAATTTATTAGTCTGTAATAGAGTAGATCTTAATGTCTTCTCGTCAAACCTCAAATATCTTTATTTCTTTGAATCTATTGTTATTTCTTTACAAAATGGATACTCCATGCCTCAGATCACAATGAACATAAATCTAAAATTTTGCTCTTGTTGCTCCTCAAACATGTAGTATAGCAAAAAAAAAGTATCTAACTCAGCCAGAGATAAACTCCAGTCTTTATATCCAAGTTACTGATGTGCTTCTGATTCTGCACATTTTTTCTTATGCTACAAGATCTTAAGCAGGAATACTGCTGCAGGCTGAGTTTTCGAATTTATTTCATAGTATATAGTGTAACTAGGAGCTGTAAAAACAGTTTTTCATACATTCTGATCCTATTTTGCACTTTCATTATATCTGCTGTGTTGATCTCCATTAACTTAGCTGTTCTCGGATCTCTAATGCTGTGTGTTTGGAATTCATTGTCTACAGAAAACTGATACAATTTTTCATTTTTTAGTCAAATCTCTTTTTTGCTTATAGGTCATATTTTGTAAAATTTAAGAGCAATAATATATCAGTGACCGAAAAAAAAATATACCAGTACATGATTGTCTATATTTAACATATGATTCATAGCGTAAAGGCAAGATTATATTTCACTGAAGAATTCATCTACACTGATATTGAACTATATAAAAAACTGCTGTTATAATTCTTATTAATTGCAGTGAGGTATCTGAACTGATAAAAGTAACAAATGGAACAATATATCTCTGAAATTAACTAATTCTCAAAAGAAATGTAAGCATGAAAAACCCTGCACCTGCTTTCTTTGCAATATTTTATTCAAAAGAGAGAGAAAAAGCAAGCAAGGAATCAAAATTCACTAGAGATAACAAAAAGAGTGACTACCCAGATTATTATCACTCTTGGAGACAGTATAAATGCAAGTGAAAAATGCTTATCACTGAATTTTTCTTATTGATTGTTTGTCTATGTCTCTGCGAGTAAAATGAGTATTTCATTGAAAGGGTCAAAATGCTTCTTGTCTGTCGTTTTAGGAATAGATGCCTATATTTCAAAATCTGACTAATCTAGAATGATGAACTTTTGTTTAGAAATATTTGTTAACTGTATAGAAAAAGTCAAAAATTTTCAAAATGATTTCTTTCAGTCAAACAAAAGTAATCGACTGGCAAAAATGATTAAGGGTCGAAATGACCCTTACTGCTGTTCTAGTGTTAACTTATGACTAATTTTTTTAATTGTTGAATTCTCTAATTGAATATTTTTAGTTCATTTGTTATTTATTAAATCATTTATTGTTGTTATATGTTTAAAATAATGCTTGAAACATTCATCAATCTGATGGTAAATATTTTCAACTAGTAATAGATTGAAGGAAGCTTCATTAAATTTTATTATAATGTATTAAATTAATCTCAACGTGGGTCATAATTACGTATTGAAACCAAATTTTAATTGTTCCTTTCATTGATATTTTATGTTATACTTTTTTTAGATTAAGTTTTTAAAATTTTGGATGAAATGTACTTGATAATGATAAAATATGTGCATGGCTGACCTATAATTCATGCTCAAGTAAAACTTTTGTAGTTCTCAGAAAATGCTATCAATATTGCTTATAACTTTTTACTGAAGATACTTAATAATTTTTTACGATGCTTTAGTTGATCTAATGCAATACCAATTTCTTGAAAGTTCAGATGGAGTGTGATCTGTGATTTAAAAAAAAAATGCAGGTAGCAATATAGTTGTAATAATAATTATATTTCAAAGAATAAATGCCCGCATTTACAAGTGTTAAAATTCTAGGGAGTACACAATGGTAGATCAGTTTTCAACCTCAATAATTAAAGCAATCAGCCTTATTAAGGGTCAGTAGTTGTCTTATGTTTGAGTACCCCATATGGATTTTCAGGATTGTTATTGCTTCAGAGATACCTATCTTCTAACTGCTTAAATAAGTTGTTCATAATTCTTTTAAAAGACTGAAAGTTCAGCTGAAACATTTTTTTATCAAGAGGCAATACTTGAAACCACAATGTAACTTATCAATTTAAAACCATACTTGTTTTTAGATGATTTTTCTAAAACTAAGTAGTCCATATAAAAGGATGTAACTGCTATGCATTAATTTATGTCGGCTTTCCTTATGTTCTTCTCATTGCTAAGTAACATACTTTTGTATATAATTTTGGAGAACAGCCTTAATTAGAAAAAAGATTTATTAGCAAATTTTATGTTTGTCTATGAAAACATGTAAAAGCTTAAGCACAATAAATTCATTAGTTAACTGTAAATACGAAAATTACCGGAGTAAAATTTAGCAAAAAAAAAAAAAAAATTTTTAGNAATTAAAAAAAAAAAAAAAAAAAAACATTTTAAGATATGGGTTACCTCCATTACTGATCTTAATTCATGTAAAATGTGATAACACATATCATTATTATTGCTTCTAAAATTTGAAATTATGTTACCGAAACCTTTAACTTGTTTGGGTAATTGTATTTTAAACATATAATCTGATAAATTTGCTGTTAAAGACACTCTAGCGTTAAATACACTCTAGTTTGCATCGATGCTTATATAACCTTTTTGTTTGGTTATTATTTATTTTGGTGTTTGTAGAAGGTTAGAATCATCATTATTTAGAGGTGTAACATGTTCACAATTTTTTTTTTAGCTGTTTTGTTTAATTTTGTCTTTTAACCAGACATAATAAAAAAGTATTTTCTTTCTGCATTTTTTTCCATACAAGCATTATATAAATTTACTAACTTATGAATATTTATTTGCTTGCTTCAAAAATAGCATTTAATTTTGATTTGATCCTTGTATTTTTAATTTTGTAGTTTATATTGCTAAATAATTTTCTTTACAAGTGAGATTTTATAATTCGTTTTAACTATTTATCTTTGTTATTGTAATGATATTTTTATTAAACATTTTCTTTTTATACAAATAAGTTTCTGGCAATTATTATAAAAATTTTGTTTTACTTTATAGCTGTTTTTTTTCTCATCTATATGTATTTATTTTATTTTTAAACTTTACTTTGTAATTCCTGTTTTTTTATGCATGACTTTGATATTTTATATGTATTAGCATTTATTTTTATTCTTTTACTCTGCAATTTTTTACTAACTTTTATTGGTTTTAGTGAAATCATAGATTTATTTTCATTAGTTTAAAATATATTTTCTTTTCATTTTTGTTTACTTTCTGTTTCTTAAATTGAAGTGTAAAAATTGCTTTATTTGTTGAATAATACAAAAAATATTTAAGCAACAAAACATAATTAACTAAAAATGATCAAAGTATTAATACTGATAATAAGTTTAACTTTCAATGATAATTTTTGCTTTTGATGAGATAATATTCAAAATCTTATTTTGTTTGATAACTTTACATGTTAGTTAACATAAAATTTAAATCATCTTTTCGAACTATTGAGACAGTGTTTGTAGAGCTAGCAATTTTGTTTCTGACCAACAATTAAAAAAAATTTCAAGTTTTTTAAGTACATTTCTTTTTATATTTTTAATTTGTAAGATTATTGACAATGAAAGTTAATCGATTTTAGCCAACAATAAAATGAAATCAAATTTTCCTTTGAGCTATCAGTAAGCCCATAAAACTATAACTGTGCCTTGACATAAAACAGGTGTTTAAAGTTTCAAGGGTTGTATGAATTTTAACTGAATGCGATCTTCTACTTATATTTCCTCATATTGTAATTCTTAATGAAAACTGCTCAAGAAATGACCTCACTTTCTTAGATATAGATTTTTGTGCATTCAATATACTGAACTCAAAAATTTGCTCTGAGTACTGAAAGATGCTAAGGTAATAAAAATAAGTAATAATAATTACATCTTGAAAGTTACTTTGTGACTTAGGTTTTCCATTCATTAATCTAATTTACTTATAAATATATGAGTAAACCAAAACTGTTTTATGCTTATGAATTTTTAAAATATATTTGAATTTTTGGGTGAACACAATGAATTATATTTCTTTACTGAAAATTTTAAGTCTTTCACCTTGTTTAAGTAGTTTAGCTAGTCACAAAACTGTTTAGATATTGTGTATTAAACCTATGATTATCGGTGTTTTGTTGATTTTCTTTAATTAACACAACTAGTTCTATTACTACTACTTGTCTGTGATGAAACAGGTATCAGTACAAATATGTTTATTTGAAAAAGTACCTTTTAATTTCTTGTGCATATCCAAAGTTAGTGTGCCAAATTTAATAAGTAGGTTTTCTTTTTATGTCGTGCTACATGGTTTATTAAAGGTTAATTTAAAGTTTTTAACTTATTCCTTTTAGTTATTTTTTTTATTAAAAAAAACGGATGTTTTTTAGCAACTATGATCATGATGTGATATCGTATTAACTAAATAAATTCATTAATTAATAAATTAAAAATTTATGATTTTAAGTAGAAAAAAATAAATATGTTAATTTCTTTATTGTATAAAAATGTACCTAAATCTTTGATGGAATTCAAATCTTCATGTTTTGAGGTAAAGGTGGATTTGAATTTTACAGGGTATGTAAGTAATTGTTGTATTCAAATTCATCTGCACTTGCACTTTCAATACTTTTCAATGCATTTTAGTGCTTTTCTATTTTTGAAATTAGGTTTAGTCACCTTTAAAACTCAGAAAATTGAATTTAAAAGTGAAATAATATTTTGAGCTTTGTGTGATGATATTGTGACTTAAAGTCAAACGTTTATACATACATATATCATATAAAACTTTATTGTGGCTAATGATATTGTAATCTATATCTCCAGTGCACTTTTAAAGTGCATATGTTAGATAATATTTATTATGTCTTTGATGTTAAAATTAAATCAGATTAAAAATCTGACCATTTTGTTGTCCTATTTATGAGATCCTGTTATCTCATATTTCTAATATATTAAAATATTTTATGATTTAAAAAAATACATTGTTTAGAGTAGTGAAAAAGGGTTGTAAATATTGTTTTTACTGTAATTGCTTCATTTATACAAAAAAGTTACGAAACATCCCATGTGTGAGTTTTTAAGTGTATTCCATCTAAACTTACTAAAATTGGGCATCTTCAAATACTATTTATACTGACAGTTATAAACACTCTTGAGGATGTTCTATAACCATTGTACATTTTTATGAAATGCTTTGGTTCCCCCCCCCCAAAGAAACCGTTACAAATGTTCTTAATTTTTCCCATCCAAAGGATTCATCAATTTTAATTATCCTAGGTATCAGGGTAGTAAATTTTATTAATTTAATTTCTCCTAAGTTTCATATTTAAATATAAAAAACTGAAGTAACAAGGAGGTTCAATGAAATATTATCATTGAAATAAATTGTGTATGAGAACTAAGCATTTTTGATTTTATTTAATTAGGTTTTATTATGTTCTTTTTCAAAAAAGAAATCTTTAAATTACTTTTAAAATCGAACATAAAAATTAACTTATCAAAAGATTTAATGAATGAAAAAAAACAATTAAAAAAGAAAAATTTTATTTATATTTTGGTCTTGAGTTAATTTTGAGCTGTAGGAAACTTTTCTAACAAAATTATCTTTATCTTTTTGAGTTTTAGTTTTGTGTGTATTGAAGGAAAAAATAATTTTGCTCAAATTTTTTTTTATTCGTCAACAAAAATTCATTTCCCAATTGCAGTGGTGTGACTTCCCCTGAAAAAAAAGAGAGCTCACTACATGGTGTAAAAACTGATTCATTATTTTAAAAACAGTGAAAAGAAAAATCTTAATCCATATTTTAAATTCCTTTTAATATAATTAAGCTAAAATTATCACTTTTAATAAAATATTCTTACAATTTTTTATTAAATGCAAGGAATATTTAATAAAAAGAAACAATTACAGAAAAAGAACCAAAACATTTATAAAATATTTTAGTTTTATAACATGTATTCTGTTTGACAATACAAAAAATTAATTTGTCATAAATGTACGAAATGAAGTATAGGGATAGTATTTTTCAATTCACTGTTTTAAAAAAAAAAATATTAATCTACACATATCAGGTTTGCCAAAGACTACTTTCAAATTCTTCCCCCTCAACACAACAGGGAAAGAGAGAAAAAGCAAGTTTCATGGCCTTTTAGTGAACTTCTAGGTTGTTTTTTTTTACTATCACTTTTTGAAACATGTTCACTGTGCATAATATATCCCATGAGAAAATGTTTATTATTCAAAAATTAGCTTGGGCCTACTAGACCCAGAAGTGTAGCTAATTGTTAACTTTAGTTTTAAAAACATTTTCCCAAGTATCAGAGTAATTAAAGAGGTAACATGATTTTGTTGGTTAAGTTTTGCATGCTAGTAAATATGGAGGTTTTGTTAAAAGTAGGTTAAAGCTATGTCTGCAACAAATAGCAACATTTATAAATTGGGCTGAATGCAACAATTTTAATGATATATCTTTTATGATGCTAGTATAGTATTTTTTAGTTTAAACTACTCGCATAAGTTTTAATGTTTATACAAAATCATCAAGATCTATTTAAAATTATTGGTTAAATTATATTTTTTACATTTGCTTTAATAATGGTCTTCTAATAAAAATTACAAAATTGATTTATTTTGACAGTATAGTTACTGTTTCTGATGAATTTTTGTGTGATTAAAACAATCATAACAGTTGCAATAGATTATCTTGGTAATCTGTATATATTACTATAAGTCGAATGCATTATTGCCATCTCATAAATAATTCAGGTTTATTTGCTGCACATATATATTAAACTGTAAACTTGTCAGGAACCTTTTGACTCAATTTGATCTTGAAGTCTCAGTGAATAATTGGATAATAAAAATTAAACTTTATTTATTAGCAATAATTGTTAAAATGGGTCTCTTAGCTTAAATCTACATAAATTGCAAAATAAGGTTCCCTTTTCAAATAAGAATTTCAATAACTTTTATCAACACTGTTTTATGCCAATTGCCTGATATCCTCATAGTGCATTAATATTACTTACATTTTTAATTTTGAATTAAAGCAAAATTTGTTCATTTGTCTCACTTTCATATTAATTTTAAAAATAAGTTACAATAGAACTCTGAAAAATTCTGCATAATAACTAGATAAATTGATTATCTACTTCAAAAAAATTTGCCTGAGTAAAAAAAAAAAAAAAAAGCGANAAAAAAAAGGCGAGTTAATTGTGTACTGTGAATTAACACACATTATTAATGGGATGGCATACTATCTATTTAAAGTGTGATGAAATAAATATACAATTTTCAAGTCTGATGTGTTCAAACTGATGGAACATTAATATCTGTGAATCTGTTAAACTTTGTAAATTTTTATGATTTTACTATCACATTTTAAAACTAATCTCATTGTACAGAATTTTCAAAATGTGAACTTGATTCTGCAATTTTCTAATTAGATATGAAGTACAAGATCTGAAAGATATAAAGCTCAAGAATGTGCTCACTTAACATTACTTGACTTTATAAAAATATTTTTATACACTCAATTTTTTGTTGATCACTTTCCCTCTTTTACAATATTTTACTGAGCCACAAACTAATTCATCAGTATTCTTTCTGTTAACAAGTTAAAGTACAAATTTTTGAAGATTTATTCAATTTTTTAAACTATTGCCATTTATTTTAATTAGCAATTTTTTGATCTGATTCTTCCTAGAGTCAAAACAAATGCATACTATACAATCCATTTAAGAACATGAATTAAAAAGTTTGTAATTCAGATACAAATATAATACCCTAGTTTCTTTCTTTCTCTAAGATTATCAAGTTAGAGATAAAATACTTTTTGCCATTCTGATTAGTTATAAGTAGCATTTTACCTTGTAACATTCTGAAATTTTGAAACTACTTCTGATGCTGTGATGGAGGTCCTGGTATATTTTAATGAGTGTCTCTGCAATTCTTGACGTAAGAAGTTATCATTAAATAAAAAAAATAGTAGAAACCACTTTAAAATTTTTCATGGATTCTATATTTTGTACTTAATATGGTTAAGATGAGGAGTTTCTAATTGATAATTCAAATTATTCCTTGCAAAATTTAAATGTAATAGATACATATTGCTCTAATTAATCTTAGAATCTTTCATTTTTATTATTGAAATTTTTAAAATCACTATCTGAAATCATTCAAAGCAAATAAATATCAAAACAGCAGAGGTAAAATCTGATTTATTTAGAAATAATGCTTTTTTAAACAAGATATTTAAATATTTTCTAAAAAATGTAAAAACTTCTTCAAAAAGTTAACACTTTATTGTAAATTGTTCAGAACAAATAAAATTATCAGTTTCTAAAGAATGAATTAACATTCTCAAATTAGTTTAAGGTTATCTTTTGAATTAATTAATTAGACTTAAAATATTTTGTTAAATCAAATTCTATATTATCAACTAAATATTGCTGCCAAACAACTTGTTTCTCAAAAAATGTCATGATATACATTACTGTCAAAAACCTGAGCTTGACCTTTGGCTTTGATAAGAGCTTTGAATATGTTAGTCATTAATTAGTTGGATCACTTTATCTAATGTTTGACAGCGTACGTGTCTTCAATAACTTTGAAGACCTTTCTATAGGTCTTCTGTGTTTATTGGCATCTACTTAAAGTTTTCCATGTTTAGTTCAGTTGTGACTGCTCAGGGTTTGTGGTGATCCTCTGATGTGAGCATCTTCTTTTCTTTTCCAATTACTGCAAGACTTTGAACTGTGCTTTGGATCATTATTTTGTTGGAACACAAAGCCACACCCTGAAATTTGTGTTTCTGATGAGATAACATATCACATTTAATTCACATTCTTTTTGATGAATTACTTTTAATTCTAACCGAATCACCAACTTGAGTGCTGCAAACTATCCCCACAAGGTATCATTGCACTCAATCTGGATGGCATACTAAAGTCTAGGATGGAAACCAAAAAGTTGAAACTTAAATTCGTCGGTTTAGAGAACTCTCTTCCATTGTGCTTCGGTGTAGTCATTTTATTGCCCAGCAGATTTTTTTATAATGTTTCTAGTTCTAAGGAGTAGTTCATTTATTGCAGTTCTAAGTCAAAAGACCATAGGTTTCCAAATGCCTGGCCACCACCCTATCTGACACCTGTCTTTTGTAGTTCTTGCTACTTCTGAAATGATGAAACATCTATTATTTTTGCTTGTTGTCACAATAAAGTTGCTAAGTATGGTTATTTTTGGATGACCAGTTCGTCTTCTTTCAAAATTTTCTGGAATTTATGATCTTTTAATAGTTTGATGCAATGCTCAGATTGATATATTCAGCTTCTGAACACTTTCTTACAAAGCCCTCTTGATCAGAAAAAATAATTGCTTGACTCGAGTCCTGACACTCAATTCGAATTTCTGGTTATGCACATTTTAGCATTTGAAGATTCTTCATACAGTTCAACTGATTAAAGTAAGTTAATATTGCAAGGTTAAATTGCACAGATTTGTATCTGATTGTCATCTACACATGAACATGATAGGATATTAGTGCCATGACTTGTAAAGCAGATGACTCGTAAAAGTTCGTTAAAATTCTGCCAGTTGGAGAATCAGGTATATTGGAAAACAGTAAGTTTCAATGTTGGATTGATGCGTTGTCTTTTGTTAAGAAATTTCTGGAAAAATAGGGGTCTGCTCAGACTTTTGACAAGAACTGTAAATCTTTTATTCATTAAAAACTCCTAGAATTGAAATTTCAAATATTATTTTGAAAATCTAATCCCCCCTATTGAAAATTCTGTGCTGAAGCAGTTTTGTCATTGGTCTCACTAAAGTTTTACCTTATATCTTGGTGCATAAATTGATTTATTTTATTTACATATAAAACACTTTTTATAATATTACTACAATGTTTGAATTATAATATATCGAAAATTTAAAAGCTAGACTTTTTTTTAAATAAAAAATATCGATGACAAGTTCTCTTATACTTTACTAATTTTCAAGTCTTTTTAAATTATTGTACTATAGCTTTCCTTATTTAAATGAAGAAACAATGCTACTTAGTTATTAATTATTCATACTTTTTTCAACTAATTTGTTTTCTCAATTGTTAATTTTTTACATTTTAAATTGATAGTTTAAGTTTCTTATAAAAACTTAACTACTTCTGTCCTGAAATAGCTGATGCTCTTTTCAATAGTAATTTTAAAAAAAATGTGATAAAATAATTGTTCTCTTTAATATTACTCTATATTCAAATACAGAAATAGAATTACAGTTAAAATTTGTAAATTGAATGATTAAAATTAATATTTGGTTAATTTTCTGAAGCCTAATGCATTGTAGCTTTGTTTTAACATCAGTTTGTGAAAATTGATTTTGACTTTTTTTCTATTTAAATAAAATTAGCTCACTCAGAATGAAATTAAACTTTTCATACGTAAGTACAAGGATAATTAAAGTAAGTGATTAAAAAATCAGAGAAAAATTATATATTAAAGAAAAAAAGAATGGAGGTTTTAGTATCCTCTTGGGCTACCTCTAGTGTGAATGCAGGGTGCAATACGGTCATGCATTAAGGCATACAATTTCCTTATGTCCTGTGATGTCTTGATCGTTATTTGCAATTGAAATACGTCTAAATCTACTATAAACTCGAAGGTTGTCCAACTTGCTGTCCTAGAGATGCTAGTTCAATGACAAACCTTGGGATCAGACAAGGTGGTAGTGTGGCCGAGCATTGTCTTGTGGAAAAAAAAGGCTCCTGTGAACTCTGCCACGAGTGGCGAAACATGTGTTTGAAGGATGTCGCGAATGTACTACTGAACTGTCATGGCACCATGGAGGAATATTGTCTTATGCAATATCACCCGATACCATCTCACCAGCTGTATGAAACTGTGTGCTTCTGTACAGCAAAGGCAGGATTGACACCCAGCTCCTTGTTGCCTTTGTTTGGAAAATCGGCCTTTTTGAACTGCAGCCAAATTTAATCAAGTCGTCTTGATCACTCTTAATATTGATCCACGGTGCGAGGACATATCAGTGGTATGTTTGTGATATCCTTCAGCGACATGTTCTGTCACACATAGCAGGGCTCCCAGGAGCCATTTTTTAACAAGACGATGCTCAATAAACCATGGAATGAGATGACGCAGGGCAAAATAAGGAACTCTTATGCCTCAATACATGACCCTATTGCAACCTACATTTGCTAGATTTGGTTCAAAAACAGTACTATATTCTCCACTCATTTGCATTTTTTCCTTCAATAAATTTTTATTTTGCTTGGATATTTTAATCACTTATGTCTTACTACATTGTATGTAAAATTTTGTTACATTTCTTAATTATTATATCATCAATAACTATTAAAGTATTGTAAATTTGAACTTCAACTATTATGTATTAAAAAAATTTAATTAGGTGAAATTTATTACAATCAATGTTACATTCGATTGAATTTTTATTTTTTAAAGCTTCAAAAATTAGAAAATTGATTAAGCTGCATAAAGAAACAGGTTGTTTGGAAAAGTATTACATTATTGTAACTTTCTCTTAAAAATATTATATTTTCCTCTAATATTAATGAAAAATAAAACAATTATCATTTTTCAATGATAGATCTTTCAAAATGCAAGAACTCCTAAATAATTTTATATTTAATTTATTTTCTGATTAATACCTTTTTTTATTATTAAATGTAATATTGTGGGACCAAATACTTAGTTTTCCTCTCATCTATGTATTCAAAAAGTGCCATATTCTTCCAGAATTATTTTAAAAACATAATATACGTATTGCAGACAACTTTCTACTCTTGTCTTTGATGACTTATTTGATACGTAAATGTTTTGTAAAATATATTTTCACATTTTGCTTGACTTCCTCACAAACTGTTACAAATGCCTAATGTCCGGTTTTATAATTGTTTGTATTCCTAGAATTTGTTAATTTTAGAAAAGCTGCTTTAAACGGTGTACTTAGGATCATGGATTATGTAAACGAGTGCAAACATCTATTATTTAGTAATTCCTTACAAAATATATAAGTTTACAAGAACTTGATTCAAATAAAACAGTTATTCTGATCTTTATTTGAGCTTGTTCTTCTATTATCTTTTTGTTCTAACTTTTAAGTAAAGAATTCTGTTTGAAAAGGTGAAAATTCTTATAAAGATCATATTTTATTCTTATACAAAGCACCTCCCTTTCTGTTGTACTTTTACTTCAAAGAAATGTTTATTACGTTTCTTTTAAGCAATTAAAAATATTAATTAAATGAGTTGAATTTGCTTAACTTTAAAATTTGTAGATAATTTTTCATTTGTTTCTTTGTTATTCGTTGAATTTACTCATTTATTCTGTTCTAAAGTATTGTGACTTGATGTATTTAAATTATTACTTTATATTTTCTTATTTAAAGTTCCTTTTCAAAATCTTAAAAGTTAGTTGAAATGAAGATATTGCATTTTACCATATTATGTATTGTAATAATTTCTACCAGTTTGCATGCTAACATTGTAAAAATCATTTCAATATATTTGAAAAAGTTTAGTTAATAATAGTATTTTTTATCTATATTAAAATATATCGGATGTTAATCATAATGTAAACTCTTAAAAATTGTCTAACTAGTCCTAGAATATATACTATTTCATGTTAAATGTGAAACTGCACTGTAATCAAGCACCTTAAAATGAACACTTTAAATTTTTATGTGAACATAAATTCTCTTTAAAATAACAGTTCATTCTTCTGCAAAAGTAAATAAGTTTTTGTTTAATTTGTTTTTGTTTATTATTTTAATTGTTCTGGTTACGAGACTGGTTTTAAAAGCAAATTCTTGTGTTAAATTTAAAGTTAGCTTTCTAAAAGTATTTTATGTAGATAATAACTCATGAGGGAAAAGGTGACTTGACATTAATTGATAATCCTGCACTTAATAAGATTGAATAAATATGTCACTCTAAGGTGCTTTCCTACATTTATTATGTTTTGAAAATATTTTTATATTTTATTTTGTTTTTAGTTCAGTGTCTGTCTTGTAAACTTTCATAACTGGTGATGTCTTGTGTAAATAAAGCTCTCTTAAAAACTATGATGCAGTGTCTTAAATTTTTGATTATTTATAAAAAAAATAAATTAACAGGGTGTTTCGTAAGTATCACTCTTAATATACGAGTCCTTATCAAAAATAAAATCTAACTATAACAAAATACATAAACGTTACGGGTCACTAATTAATATTTAAGAAAGAGGAAAATATAAGTCAGATTTTGCCAAAATTTTTATAACTGTTGGGGAAAAGAAATAAAAAATGTTGAAACCAGTTCGAATCAACTTTCACCTCCTCAGTTTACTCAACTAATCGGGTTTCGATATTTTTAATCTGGTCTTTCTCGTAAATGATGTCATATTTCAGCAACGTTTTTCCATTTTCCTTGCATAAATATTAATTTGCAGTCTAATTTCTATTCTTCTTTTACTTCAATATTTGACTAGAATTATAAAAATATTTGTTAAGTGCAGTGATTATAACATACCCTATATATCCGAAAAACTTTATGTACTATTTTCTACTTCTAGTGCAGTAAAAATGGAATTAAAACATGGTATTCAAAATTTTAGTTTAACTGTTAAGCAAAGAATTATTTGAAATTTTACAAAAAAGTTCTCAGACATTTCTATACACTTGCCCCATTGTTTTGCAATAATTATTAAGACCTAACATTTAAATTTTGAAACTTAAATACATTTTAATTTTTTTTAAAATTTATTATTTAAAGTTAAATGTAATTTAAATATTTGGGTAAAATTGTAAATGATTCCTAAAATCGTTCGAAATAATATTTCTTTCAAATTTGCATGTAATAAAACTATTTAAATATCACATAAAACTAACATTAACTAACTAGCAAAATGAATTATTGTTTAATTTACGAGATGTATACAGATTATTAGTTTATTATTTATTACAAGTTTAAGAAACTCATATTCAGAAAAAAAAATCTGAATAAAATTAGTTAAATTAAACAGCTAAAAAGGATAGTTTCCACAAAAAAATTATTTCTTTAGATAATAAAATGTAAAAAGTTTACTTATGCTCTTATAATATTGGGGAAAAGTAATAAAATTTAAAATACTTCAGATAATACTATAATAAATTTAACATTATC